TGAAGTTAGACAGCCCTTTCATCAGTTTAATAATGACAAGGAAGAAGCTGTTCAAGAAGAGTTGTTGGTACGTGTGTTCAAGCTTCTGTATCTCCTGTCAGATGGAAGAGGTTGTAGGAGATCATTACCAGGATGAGAGGGGTCTTTGATGATGTTGGCAGCCTTTCCGTGGCAACAAGAAGTGGAAATGGAGCCCCTGGATGGAAGGCTTCTATGATGGACTGGACTGTGCACACAATCTTCTGTAGCTTCTTATGGTACTGGGAACAGCAGGCCATTATGCACACAGATAGTATGCTCTCTGTGGCATATCTTTAAAAGTTGGTGAGGGTCCTTATGGACATGCTGAATTTTCTGAGCTGCCTGTGGAAGAAGAGACGTTCTTGACCATCGCATCTACGTGGGAAGTCCAGGACATGTTATCAGTTATCGTCACTCTTAAGAACTTAACACTGTCTTGTGGGTGTGGTGCCAATCAAGTGGGCTGCTTTGGTTTCAATGCTGTCAAGCATCTTGAGTGTTTTTGGAGCTGCACCCATCCAGGAAGCGTGGAGTATTCCATCACATACCTGACTTGTGCCTTGTAGGTGGTGGACAGGCTTCAGGGAGTCAGGAGGTGAGCTACTTTCTGCAATATTCATAGCCTCTGACGTGCTCTTGTAACCACTGACTTTATATGCTGAGTCCAGCTGAGTTTCTGGTCAATTGTAACCCCCAGGATGTTGATAGTGGGATATGCAGTAATGGAAATGACATTGAATGTCAAGGGCCGGTGGTTAGATTGTCTCTTATTGGAGATGACTATTTCCTAGCATTTGTGCAGCATGAATGTTACTTGCCACTTGCCATTCCAAGACTGGAAATTTTCCAGGCCCTGTTGCAAGTTGAACATGGACTTCTTCAGCTTCTGAGGAGTTGGAAATGGTGCTGAACGTTGTGCAATCATTTGCGAACATTTCCCCTTCTGACTTTATGATGGAAGGGAGCAGCTGAAGATGGATAATTGAATGAGGTTGCTGATGAGAGATTTTTTTCCCCGTTCGTAGGGCAGACCAGTGAAAGATAGTGGCTGAAAACCCACGGGAATGTGGGGGAAAAGAAAATCCCAGACAATGGTAAGAAGTTCAATGTTATTACCAGAAAGAGTTGTGGAGGTGAATAACGTAGATATGTTTAAGAGGAATTCAGATAAACACGTGAGGGATAACGGAAAAGAATGTTTTGCTGTTATAATGCAAAGGAGACCTGTATTTTTCTTTATTCAGTCATAGGATATGGGTGTTTCTGGCTAAGCCAGCATTTATTGCACATCCCTACTGCCCAGAGAGCAATTAAGAGTCAACCACATTGCTGTGGGTCTGGAGTCACGTGTAGGCCAGACCAGGTAAGTATGACAGATATCCTTCTCTAAAGGGCATTGATAAACCAATCAACTTTTTTGGACATTTGACAATAGTTTCACAGTTATCATTCCAGAACTTTTTTTTAGTTGAATGCAAATTCCACCATCTGCCATAGCAGGATTTGAACCCAGGTCCCCAGAACATTAGCTGAGTTTCCTGGATTAAAGGTCTAGCGATAATGCCAGTAGACTATTGCCTCCCTAGCAGCATTATGCGTCCTGTGCACAAATCACGTGGAACGGTCCTGCGTGTTTCTGTGCTGTAAATCCGATGTAGATCCATGTAGCTGTCAGAAGTGGCAAGTGCCTTGTGCGTAAGCTGTTCTTTTTACAGCGAATGATGCCTATCGATAAAGGCTTAGACTGCACGCAGGGTTGGAAAGGATAAAAAAAAACACCACTTGCAAGTTCCTCTCCAAGTCATACACCATTCTGCCTTGGAAATGTATCGCCATTCCTTCAGTGTCAAAATCAATGAACTGCCTTCCTAACAGCAGAGTAAGTGTCCTTACAATCTGTGGATTGCAGTGGTGCTGGGAAGCAGATCAGCAGTGCCTTCACAAAGGCAATTAAGGATGAGCAACAACTGTTGGGTGGCACAGTGGCTCATGGTTAATACTGCTGCCTTATAGCGTCAGGCACCTGGGTTTGATTACACCCTCAGGTGACTGTGTAGAGTTTACACATTCGCTGTGTATCTGCATGGGTTTCCTCTGGGTGCTCCAGTTTCCTCCCACAGTCCAAAGATATGTAGATTAGGTGGATTGGCTGTGCCAAATTTTCCATAGTGTCAAGGATGTACAGGCCAGATGGATTAGCCATGGGAAATGCAGTGTTAGAAGGATAGGGTGAGCAGCGGGGTATGGTCTTCAAAGGGCCAGTGTGGACTCAATAGGCTGAATCACCTGCTTCCACACTATAGGGAAACAAATGTTGGCCTCATTAGCGATGCTAACATCCTGTGAATTCATTAAAAAAATGAGTTAATGAAATAATATCCACTCCCTCTTTCATCACCTCAGAACTTCACAAAATGTTTTGCAGCTTCTCCCCTCTCTCTCTTCTCCTTTCTCTTTCTTCTTGTTCACCAGTACTACTATCTCATTACATAGCTTAGTGTCAGTTTTTTCCTGATTGATGTTCCTGCAAAATGACTCAGGACATGTTCAAGGTGCTACATAAATTAAGTTAAACAAAAGTGTCAGATTACTCACAATGTGGATGTGACATGATTTTTCTGGCAGTGAATATTACGGAGCCAATAACTTCTGTTTTTAGTAATCCACTAAAGGAACATCATTAACCAGGGGAATGAAGCGTGCTGATAGTGAATGGTTTCGTTAGTAAGGAAAGCAGGATCTTACTCACACGACACATTGCAAATCCAAGATAACAGCACCTAACCTTCTGAAATAAACATCAACGGTGAGTGGATTTGTTGCAGTAACAAGGATTGAGAAGATGCTGTGTTTACACTCCAGTGCTCCACTCTCTTCCTATTTTGATGCAAACATGCAGTGCAGGAACCTGTTGAGTCTCTCTCTGTGTGTGTGTGTGTGTGTGTGTGTGTGTGTGTGTGTGTGTGTG